AATGAGAATCTCGTCTACGCCTTACTTTCTTACCAAAACATTTCAAACACAGGAAWTAGTGTTTCTATGATGTAACWATTTTATCTTTACAGATGAGAATGAGTGTGTGGAGAAGAAAGATGCATGTGGCAATGGCACTTGTACCAACACCGAGGGCTCCTATCARTGTGTATGCAATCCGGGATTCGCACCTGGACGGCAGTCACCGAAATGTGTCGGTAAGAAACGTGTCCGTATAAGAAACAGAAGCCTTWCTCTTTTCTCTCCTTTTAGACCTTGAGCCGTTCGCCAGAAAATAGAAGAGTTTATACTAACTTATTGCAGAATGGTGGTTTTGAATGATCCCTTGACSAAAGCGATCTGAATTCTTTATGAATTGTCAAGTTTCTTCTCTTTTCCAGACGTGGACGAGTGCAAGGCCGACAGAAGTCTCTGCGCGTTCCGTTGTATTAACACACCAGGRAGCTTTAGATGTGTTTGTCCGAGAGGATTCGAGCTTGCAGGCAACGGAAGACACTGTAAAGGTAAATTACTTTACTTATTGAATACAAAAATGTCTTTGGCATGCTGAGGTTTAGTTTGCAGCAAGAGGGGGAGCTGTGGAAGGGCTGAGAGAGGGAAATGAGGGGAGAGAGACTATCAAATCAAGTCCATAGATTRAGCCGTGAGAGTAACTAGATGCGTGGTGTGAGGCGGATAAGGCTTGATGCGTGGTGTGAGGCGAATAAGGCTTAGCTTAGCTTCTAATCTCGGCGTGCATGCATACGGTTCGTATTAGTTCTCACGCGTGAATTGCAACTTAGACCTTGGACGATATTCCTTGACCACCAACACAATGCAAAATCATTCGTCTTCGGCGTTGACTATCGGTCTTATTTACTAATAAGTGGCACAAGACGTACCTTTTACTGATCGATCGAATTTGATGTTTTTCTTTACAGATGTTAATGAGTGCACACGTGATCCAAAACTATGTCCATACTTGTGTAAAAACTTCGTTGGAGGATACAAGTGTATCTGCGCGCCAGGATATGTAGGAGACGGCAGAACGAAGTGTATAGGTATGGAGAACAGAGTTACTATACTATTCCAGGGCGWGCATAGTSTAGGAGAGGGTAGGAGACGGTATAATGAAGTGTATAGGTATGGAGAAAAGAATTGACATACTATTCCACGGCAAGCATAGTGTAGGAGAAGGTAGGAGACGGCAGAATGAAGTGTATAGGTATGGAGAASAGAATTGACATACTATTATAGGGCAGGCATAGTGTAGGAGAGGGTAGGAGACGGCAGAATGAAGTGTATAGGTATGRAGAAGAGAATTGACATACTATTATAGGGCAGCCATAGTGTAGGAGAGGATAGTGAAAGTGAAAGTGTATAGGTATGGAGAGACAGCTTGCATGGTAAAGTAGGGCAAGCATAGAAGTGTATGTAGGAGACGTAAGAATGAGGTGTATAGGTATGGAAAGACAGCTTGCATGGTAAAGTAGGGCGAGCATAGCAGGGTATGTAGGAGACGGAAGAATGAGGTGTATAGGTATGGAAAGACAGCTTGCATGGTAAAGTAGGGCAAGCATAGAAGTGTATAAAGGAGACGGAAGAATGAGGTGTATAGGTATGGAAAGACAGCTTGCATGGTAAAGTAGGGCGAGCATAGCAGGGTATGTAGGACACGGGAGTATGAGGTGTATAGGTATGGAATGACGGCAGAATGAAATACRTATGAGTATGGARAAGACAGCTAGCATGGTAAAGTAGGGCAAGCATAGCAGTGGATGAAGGACACGGGAGAATGAAGTGTATAGGTATGGAAAGACAACTTGTGTGATAAMGTAGGACGTGCATAGTAGTGTAGGCACAAAGACAGCAAAAGAGTCTAAGAAAGATGTGRTACGATAGAGTATACCTGTAATACTAAAAAGGCAACATAGTAAGATAGTGCGATGTATRTACCTCACAGTAGAATTTCTCTCCCTAGACATCAATGAGTGCCAAACTCAGCCAGGATTGTGTCGTAATGGCGTCTGYCGTAACATTGGAGGAAGCTACGTGTGTGATTGTAACGTTGGATATGTGCGCTCCAAGAACGGCAAGAGATGTGAAGGTATATATATTGATTAATGCTTTATTGCTTTAACTGTAAGT